CCCCCCCACTTTTAAGTTTTTCCAATTTTTTTCACTGCGGCGGGGTAGAACCCGCCCCCCGCCGTCGGGATCAGGTCCCCGCTCCCCCGCATCCCCCCCCCCGGCCACAGCGCGGCCGTTTTGCCCGCGGTCGCCTCGGTCATGACTGCGTGCCCGCGGCCGCCCCTGCGGGCCGCGGTCGTGCCCGAGGTGACCGTGGCCGCGGGGGATTCATAGCGCCCAGGCCCTTGGTCGGATACACTCACTTGTTGTGCGCAGGTACCCAGACAGCATCAAGGCCACGGGGAGTTCGGTGTTTCAGGCCTATCTTTGCCGTCATTTGCCTTGAGATCTCGATGGCTGAGGGAAGCAGCAACCGGGGTCCAGACCCCGCATCAACGCTACATAAGCCTAGATCTCCTGGCTTGGAGATATTATGTCTTCCGTCAATGTTGAATTCACGCGTTGACTACGATGCTAGCGCGAAGCTGCGACACTGGCTGGCCGCTGGCTCTACGCTGGCACTTGGGCGACTACGGCGACGCGCTGTTGGCTCAGCATGATGACGGGCTGGCAATTGTCTTTTGGGCATGCTGATGTGGCAGCTGCCACGCGCCGCCGCTGACGTGGTCGCTGCCACGTATACTGTTGCTGACATGGCAAGGCTACGTGACTGGTATTGTTATTCTGATTCATCGTCACTCGGGAGGAGATCATAATTGTGGGGCGATTGTAGATACGTACCTCGTTCTCTCGATGTCGACATTGCTCCAGCTCGCTGATGAGGACAGATTGACGTGCCATGTGGCACATTGTGATAGAACTTCAGATTCATGTTCAGACTATTGATTATTGAGGTGGTGATCGAGGAGGGAGCCCGAAGCAGAAGTGGGCATTGTCTTCTTTCTCCACTCTAAGTCTATTCTCCCTCCTATCTCCTTCGTCTGTGTATGTTTCTCGCATCTCATTCTATCTAGACACAATTATGATTATTGACAATCATTAGCAGGTTGATACTTATCTGGGCTTGCATTGTTGACAAGTGTCTTCACGTTCTAGGTTCATTGCAATTTGGTATCGGAGGTGTACTCCTGATGATGTGACCGACTACGATGACCGTACAAGAACGACGACGACGTAAGAGAAAGAGAGATCAAGCGCATGTCAGGTGTTGACGTGGTATTGGTATCCCGACAGGGGAAAGTCCAGCAGGATCGCGCTGTTATCCAGATCCCGATCGATCGCATATGCGATCGGGATGCATTGCTGACGTGGCCGGTGATTGTTGACGAGTGTTGACGTGGCATTGCTGACTCACCACTTGTCTATTGTGGTGAGTAGCTTCAGGCTGACGTGGCATTGTTGACGTGGCACTCCATTACCTGGCTAATGTGGCATTGTACGATGCGCTAATATTGGTCCTGGCGTGTACCCCACTGATGATGCTGACTGGACTATCGTGCTGACGTGGCAGACTCAAGGCGTTGCTGTGTTGGCACACCGGGGGATACACGTGGCAGGCAGGAATGTGACTTACTCGATGACGACATCAACACACATTGCTAACGTGCACCCCATTCATGACCTTGATTTGACTGGACATGCTGACGTGGCATACTCTTTGAGTTGATGAGTTAGCATGCAAGGGGTGACACGTGGCAGGCACGGATGTGCCTAAGTAAGAGTTGCATTCTGGTGACTGAAGCGGCACGGCTGGAAGACTGACATGGCTGTGGTGCTAGACGTCAGATTGAATGCTGATCACACAGGACCGAAGAAGAAGAAGCAGCAGGGGAAGAATGCTAACTATTGTTGTGATTTTATGTTGGCAGACTTACCTGTTGTCTTGTGTTGTGTTGTGTACCTGTGTACTTGTGTGTGTTGATGATCATGTTGGCCTGAGTCGCGGTACCTGAAATAGAACAGAACGTCATCACATAGAAATAGAGCAGCAATCAGGATTAGCAAAAATTTATGTTCCTTATTATTTAAATCTTTCTGTTCGGACAGTGCAAAATTTTAGTTCGGAATATCGTTTAAATTATGTTGTTACGTAGTTCCTCCCTTCCCCCGCCATTGATTACTCTGAAATCCAGAGTACAAACAGAGTCATCCCCTTTTTTAAAGAAAGAAGTCATTGAGATAGGACTTGCTGAAGTTGCTGGGAACCGGGCCCAGCGTTCCATATTTGTTGCCACTGATTTTTGGGTGCTTTAGGTAGGTGATGTTGATGATGATGCTGTTGTCGGAGATGCATAAGGCTAATGATGACCACAGATCTTTGAGCACCTTACTCTCGCACAAACCATCGCATATCTACGATTGTTGTGGTTGTCGGGGGGAACATATCAGGAAAATCCCCTGGACTCCTCATTGGGATATCCGGATTGACTTGCAACCATTCGTAAAACTGAAGTTTGTTGTTTTTGGTGAATTTGTTGCCTTCCTTTTCATCCCCTCTTTCTCTGTGGCAAACGATGTGTGCTAACCTGCCTCCCTTTTCCCCTCTCAACCAATCTGCGCAAAATTTATTGATTACTTTTGTGATATCTGTTTTCTATGTCAAATGAGTTAACTTTTCCTGCACGTTATTTCACTACATTCTTATTTTTGTTTCTATGAAATGTCGGATTATCTCTTTTGCTTCCCCTTCTCCTATTCTGGCCCCTTCCTGATCAAACACACATCTCCTTGTCCATAGCATCCATACCACGACTTTCTTGGCAATAGCGAACAGATTTGTGGCGTAGTTGGAGGCTAATGGCCTACCCTATTCTCCTAGTAATATCGATTCCTATTTCCATGACAATTTCTCCTCAGTTTCGAGTTGAGACCAGATGCAGTCCCACCAATGCCACATTAGCACCGCCCCTCGGCATTGAAGGAAAATATGTTCTATTGTTTCACAAACTTTGCGGCTCGGGAATCCGGTTAGGCAAATTTTACACCATGGAAGGACTTCCTCTTTCTGTTCTAGATTAGTTATATCAATGATCCAGTTATTGGTGGGAAGACATCTATGAAGAATCTGCCATTGCAGGGCGACAAATTTGGTCGGTCTTTCTATTATTCCTTTAAAGTTTAAACCATTTTATTCCTTTTCTCTGATCATCTTCTAGGTTTAAGTGCCTCTTCCACCTCTCCCACACCACTGTCCTCACATCCACTTTGGGTCTAATCATCATGTACGTGCTATTTACCGTCAGGCTAAAAAGTTATACCGTTTGCGATGTCCGACATACATTGCCATTCTAGCGGGTCCAGGGCCAGAGTGGATAGGGGGGTTTCCAGGCGACAGGCTTGCAATTATGTTTTTCCGCCCTTGTGTGTCTGCAGTACTCGTATACGATATATGTTGGCTTTCTTGTGCCATTGAACTGAGTCTGGGTGGTACCTTACCAGAGTCTCTTCCTGAGACTTCCTCCTTTCTTTCGAACAGGTTTACTATGGTTCCTTCAGTTCTCACCTCCACGATGCACCCTATTTGTAGGGGTGAGTCCTCCAACGTGACTGTCACACAGTCTTGTTCTTGCAAGCTTGGTCCTTTTCTCAGGATCACCACCCAAGCTAAGGGTATGGAAAATATCAATTGTTTCAGCCCTAGATTGAGGGCGTGTCGCATATGGGGTCTCAATTGTTGGGTGGCTTTCCAATCCTTAGCAGCCTCGTCCCATATATCCCCTACTCGGAGGACCCCAGTTCTAACCCACGCGGTTCACTAGGGGTCCAAGCTACTAAACACCCGGCCTTGCCGATCGATAATGGCTCTGTTCCCAAACAGGGTCTGTCGTAGGACTTCTTCCATCTGTTCTGGGGGGGGGGCTTGTCTGGGAGCGGTAACCTTCTCCAATCCTTTATTAAGTTGACTCATAATTTATCCTTTGTTAGATCTTGTCTAACTGCTCCTGTATCTCCTTCCTCTCACGAGTGTGAGTTTGCTCTAGGGATTGACCAGTAACGGTCCTCAATCCAGGTCAGCGGGTCTACCCCCGAGGCGGTTCTTGGGGCCGGCCTACAGATCTATTCCTTGGCCAGATTCTCCCAAAGGGGGACTTTACCCCGGAGCAGTCTTTTTTTTTTTTTTTTTTTTTTTTTTTTTTGAGAAGGCCCCTGCACAAGGCCTCTATCCTGGTGGTGGTAAGAGAACCACCGGGATTGAGGCTTTGCCTGGCGGGCCGCTCCATCTATTGGTGGGGAGCATCACCTGCTGGAAACCGGGTCCAGCGTCCCTTAGATACATCTTTACAAAACAATACAGCAATGTGAATCAATGTCGTTGGCGCCCTTGTGCTGGAAACCGGGTCGTCCCATATCCTTGTCTGTTTTTCCAAACCAATCTTGCAGCAGGGTCGGGTATCGAAGGGGATCACTGGGGGGCACCAGTAGGGCCTCCTCCAACCTCTGACCCCTGCTGTCCACCAACTATCCTCCTGGCGCCTATTGCTGAGCATCATGGGAGTCAATCAGAAGTAGCACAACAAAATGTCTCAAACTATCTGAACAGTGATTCTGACATATGACCGCATCAGACACCCACTTCTAAGGCACTTGAGTGACGAGCAGTAGGAAGGGGCG